TATTTATAAACTTAGCCAGTATTACATGACTTATCTGTTCATAGACACTTTCACTTATAAAAGATTCAGTTTACTTATTGACTAGGCCGGACTCAACTGACTGCAGCAACGTATCTTACGTTCAGAAAAATAGTATGGCTATATATATATATATATATATATATGTATATATATATATATGGAACAATAAAAATATAAAAAATTAAAATCTTCAAATACACTGGGTTGTATGTAAATAATATTCTTTCGTTTTTATTATTTCAATTAGATCCCTCTATATATGTTGATCTCCAATATATATATATATATATATATATATATATATATATATATATATATATATATATATATATATAGCAGCATGGCTCGGCGTTGCCCGTGCTTGATTCAAAAATCGTACGTTTCATACAGCAATCGCTATCACTTGACTTAAAGTATTTTTTCCCTTCCTTGCCTTTAAAGGAGTGCCCTTTACCGTGCTGATGTTGCTACATGCCTTACTTCTTGCCTATCACACTGCGAATTTTTCTAAGCTCTATACTAAACATCAAATCTGTTACAAAAAAAGAACTAAACAAAATAAACACCAAACGATCAGCTTTAAAAAAGGACTCGTAACTAGAAAAACCGAATGAAAAAAGAATGTTAACAACAAATACTTTTTCACACTCAACCCAGTTCTGCGGAATCAGAATCAACGTTGAGTTTAAGCAAACGAATGAGCCAATTGGAGTAAAGTGCCATGCAGATTTAAATTTTTCCCACTTGTGACGAATGCAGCTATCGATTTTTTTGCATGCTAGCATGCTAGTTAACATTCGTGTCAGTCAGCTGTTGGCTCTCACGCTGGCTAGTAGAATCTTCCTGCCTATTCGTGGCAGCCAACTATTGGCTCTCACTCTGTCCAGTAGAAAATGGCCGCAAACTACATGAAAATTGCCGATAGGAGTTGGGAAATGCAAAGTCGGTTTTGGCCTTCCCGCTAACTTGGAGAATGTGCATGTAAATTTTGGTGCAACTCCGTCGAAAATTGCGGCCGGGCATTCGTTACACACACACACACACACACGCACACACACACATACACACACACACGCACGCACACACGCACACACACGCACACACACACACACACATCCTGCCTTTTATATATATATATATATATATATATATATATATATATATATATATATATATTAGAATTTAGAGAGAGTGTAAGTATGAGAGTGTGGGACGAATGTTAGAGCTAAAGAGAGGGGTAACAGACGAGAGAAGGTGGGAGATTAAAACTTAACAGTGAGTAGTTTTAGTGTGGTGAGTTGAAGACAGTTTACGTGAGAGAAATATGAATGTTGTCAGATGTCTAATATATTAAAGATGTAACCGAAAGGATACATTTTGTGGTGACATACACACAATAGACGATCTAATCATAAAAGATCAGATGAAGAGGAGGAGAGGAAAAGAAAAGAAAAAAAGGTGGGGGGAGAGATGGATGGGGAAACTAAAACTGAAAGGCACTTACTGAAAGGGCCGCTGTGTAATTAAGAAAATTTGACAAAATTAATATCGACTACAGGTTACAAATCAAATATACACATATAAAAATTAAATGTAACGATTATCTAATCTAGCAAGGACCTATATTTTTATGTTCAAAAACACTAGCGTATACACACATACACAATAACATATACACGTACATACATACATATAGGCGTGTACCCACATACACACTTATATATACCCATGTACACACACACATATATATCCATAAATATATATATATATACAAATATATATATATTCTCATATACATATACATACATATACATACACACACATACACATACATGTATACATATAAATACATAAATACACACACACATACATATACACATACATCTATATATAACCTTCTCGATCTGTGTTTTACCTCCATCCCCGAATCTTGCAGCGCCACGCAGATCTGTCCTCTTGGTAACTCCGATCATGCTGTAGTATCTGTTAACATTTCCTTCAACTCCACACCCCGCAAAGAACCTCCCATCACTAGAACCTCGTTCTACTATCAACGAGCGGATTGGGACTCGTTCCGTGTCTTCCTCCGCGATGTCCCCTGGGATGTTGTCTTTACTCTCCCTGTCCAAGAATGTGCTTCTGAGGTCTCATCCTGGGTTAAAGCTGGAATCGACGCTTTCATCACCTCTAGGAAATTTAAGGTCAAGTCACACTCCTCCCCTTGGTTCTCCGCTGCTTGCTCAGCCGCCATTGCCAATAGGAACCACTTCTTTCACCTATTTCGTAGCGACATGTTGGACTGCAATAGACGTCTCTTTGTCTCCGCCCGTAACGAGTGTAAGCGTGTCCTCAATGAAGCCAAGTCAATATTTGCTGCTCGGATGAAGGAGCGTATTGCATCTCGCAAATTTGGCTCCAAAGATTATTGGCGGCTCTGCAAGAGTGTCCTGAACAATAGAAAACCCTCCATACCTCCTTTGTTCAACCAGTTCGAAGTCTTGACCTCCTCTACCGACAAGGATGAATGCTTTGCTCGGAAATTCTCATTTAATTCAACGCTCGACTCCTCCAGTGTACAGACTTCCCTCTAAGAACTGAGGCCCTATTGAGCGGGTTACACATAACCCCGTCATTGGTATTGGGCATTATCTCCAATTTAGACTCCCACAAGGCTAGTGGTGGAGATGGTATACCAGCCATTGTTTTGAAGAAATGCGCGCCTGAGCTAGCGCCCGCCCTCTCTAAACTATATAATTACTGCCTCAAGGAATCTTGTTTTCCTGACTGCTGGAAGTTCTCATCCACTATTCTTGTCTTTAAGAACTCTGGAGACCCCTCTGACCCTTCTAATTACCGTCCTATTAGTCTCCTACCCCTCTTCGGCAAAGTCTTCGAAGCCCTAATCAATGCCGAATTGGTTAACCACCTTACATCCTATGATCTGCTCTTAGACAAGCAATATGGTTTCCGCTAGGTCCGATCTACAGCTGATGTGCTTACGGCCATCACTGAAACCGTCTACCAAGCCCTTCAAAATAACGGTGAGGCTCGCACCGTGGCCCTAGACATCTCCAAAGCGTTTGATAGGGTTTGGCATGCCGGCCTTTCTTAAACTCCAGGGTTATGGTATTACAGGTCGATTGTTTAACCTAATACAATCATTCCTGTCAAACCTTGAATTGAAGGTCGTTCTCAACGGATTCTCCTCCAGTTCCTATCCCACGAACGCAGGTGTTCCCCAAGGCTCCATCCTTGGCCCCACTCTATTCCTTATTTTAATCAACGACATTCCTGACGCCATAGATTCCCAAGTTGGCATCTACGCGGACGACAATACAATTTACTCCTGCCTCAAAAACAAATCTAGTGTCGGTGACAAAACTAACCTGGCCGTGCGCCTTGAAATGGACCTCCAATCGGTTGTTAATTGGGGCAAGAATTGGCTGGTCAACTTTAACGCCTCAAAAACTAAACTACTCTCTCTCTCTCTCTCTCTCTCTCTCTATATATATATATATATATATATATATATATATATATATACTGTTTATATTCAGACAATTGTCCTCATCTTTGTTCAACGTTTCGGCTTTTGTCATCAAAGTGTATTATTTGCCCTCGGGTCAATAGATTACAATTTATCTTTCAGTTGTATCTCTGTCTTCGCACGGAGCGCAACTCAGTTTTATCTCTATCCGCAGACAGAGCGCAGTACCTCCCTCAGGTGGGTGGTTATAATACGGGCACCTGAGAAACCGGACGGTTGCGTAGCCTGGATTATTTTTCGACCTGGACCGAGTGCACGCGCTAGGGCTCTCCACCTTATACTGACCTCATGTCAGTATAAGATTTGGAGTCCTGCCATCGTAAGGCAGCAAGAAAACACAATCGCTTCTCCGCTTTTTGGCTAGGATCTAAGCCTAGTACCTGTTCTTATCATCTTAATTCGATTATCTATATCCACGTCTATCTTCCCTTCTTTCTTTCATTTTCACATTGAAACCAACTAGTGCTTAAAACGCATTTAAAATGGAATTGTCTATTATTTATGAGTTGTTGGCAGGGCGTAACGGTCGTGCTAACTGACGAACGGAGCCTCATTTTCATAGGATAATAATGAAGATTATGATGTAGAGTTATAGATTGTCTATAGATAAATCAAACTTGGAAACTCTGCAAAAGGCGAAATTTATTTGGTAATAATAATAATAATAATAATAATATGGAACCAACCATTTGATGTTAGTGTTGAAGGTATGCTCATCAAAATCATTACAGAGCTGGACTCGAAAATAGATTATTTCATATTCGTTTCTTTTTATTTTGATACCCCCTAAAAAAGAAATGAAAAAACTAAAAAAATAGTGAAAGTAAAAAAAAAAAAAAAAAAAAATAGAGGGAAAAATGCGTAGGTGGCGAATATAAATTTAAATTCAGGCTTTTCTGTCTTATCAACCGAAGCTACGCACACTTAACATAAGGTATATATATAAATTAATATTACAAAGAAAGTAACTCCGATCAGTATGCGTTGTAGGTAATCAGGTAATCGATATTTCATTAACGGACAAGAAATGTGATTAATTGTTTTGAAGTCATTAAAGATAAAGAAAATTCAGACAAATCAACTTCAGAGTCTGTTAGTCGAATTTAGATTGGTTTGATTCCTCTGGGACAACTTAAATTCCTTCATTTCTCGCTTGGAGAACTGATTTGCTGGAATTTAATCATGGACGTTCGTTTGTCAGATAAACTCTCATGGGAGTTAGTTTTAGAATCAGTTCATGATCATAAATAGTCAGTATTATAAAGGCAAGAATGTGCGTGTGTGTGTGTGTGTGTGTGAGAGAGAGAGAGAGAATAATTTTGGTGAACAAAGTCTGAATGGTCTTAGTGAAGAAGAAGAAAAAGAAGAAGAAGAAAAAGAAGAAGAAGGAACACAAGAAGAAACACTAGAAGAAGAAACACAAGACGAAACACTAGAAGAAGAAGGAGGAGGAGAAGGAGAGGAGGAAGAAGAAGAAGGAGGAGGAGGAGAGGGGAGAAGAAGAAGGAGGAGGAGAGGGGAAGAACAAGAAGAAGGAGGAGGAGGAGAGGGGGAAGAAGAAGAAGGAGGAGGAGGAGGAGAGGGGGAAGAAGAAGGGGAAGAAGAAGAAGAAGGAGCAGGAGGAGGAGAGGGGGAAGAAGAAGAAGGAGGAGGAGGAGAGTGGGAAGAAGAAGGATGAGGAGGAGAGGGAGAAAAAGAAGAAGGAGGAGGAGGAGAGGAGGAAGAAGAAGAAGAAAGAGGAGGAGAGGAGGAAGAAGAAAGAGGAGAAGGAGGAGGAGGAGGAGGAGGAAGAAGAAGAAGCAGATGATGATGATGATGATAATAGAAAAGAATAAAGATAACGAGTAAAACAATAGGAGCAGATAGGTTGGTCTATTGTCCGGTTTACACTCCGGTCTTTTGAACAGGATTAGAAGTTTATCTCTTGTTTACTCTTTAGGTTTTGTTATATGTATATTTTGGTTTGCTATCGTTTAGTGTCCCTCTCTTCTTCCGTCTTTTGAAGAGGGGTAGAGTTTTAACCCTTGTTCCAAGGTTTAGATTTGGGTTTCCGGTCCCTAATAAAATCGACTTCAACACTGTGTTTCTAACGTCTCCGCCAAAACTCTGAAATATTACTATTTATTTTTTTGTTTTATTTATTTTTCATCACTGGGACTAGACAGGTTCGCTTATCGCTCGTCTCCTACCCTTAACTGGTCTTTTGAACAGGTGTAAAGGTTTGTCCCTTATTTCATGTTTAGGAATGGGTTTCTAGTTCCTTCGAAAGCGTTCTCATTCACTTTCACTGCCATTGTGTCTTAGCGACATTGTCACCTTGCTTGGGGTGAAATGATTGAAAAAAAGAATTTGAGAGTGAAGAAAAAACCCAGGAAAAAACTGGTTGGAGAAAAGGGATAATCAATGGTCAGAAAAGAAAAAAAAGTGAGAAAGAATGAAACAGTAGAACAGAAAGAGGCTGATGATAATATAGAAGAAGTAGGAGGGAGAGGAGGAGGAGGAGGAGCAGGAGGAGGAGGAAGAAAAAGAATTTGCAGATAATGATCATGATGAGGAGGAGTTAGGAAATTATCCGGAGAAAGGAAAAATGACTGCGTAAAGGAGTATAAGAAAAATTAACGCAAGAGGCAAGAATTAAAGAAAGAAATAAATATAAAAATAAAAAAAAGATCATTGCTAGACGAAAAGGGCGAAAGATTCAATGAAAAGAAAGAAAAAGACAGAGAAGAAAGAAAGAAGAGAAAGAGAAGAGGTGATAGCAAAAAAAAAAAAAAAAATAGACCAGTAAAATGAAAATGATGCTTTTTTGTTTTACTACAAAATGCCATTAAAATATTAGCAAGTTTCACTGCATCATCCGAAACCCTAACAAGATTTTAAAGTCTGCTAATACTTGATTTTCGAAAGGAATATACGGTAACTTAATAATATTTGGACAGTGTATTTATTGCTGTTCGTAATTCTGTTGGCAGTCAATCTTAATTTGATTATTTTAACCTAATATTCATCAATGAGAATACAGCCTGTTATTCCTTGCATAACCGGGCGGCCTTTACCAAAATATCCCAACGCGTCCGGTAGAAGATAGTATTGTGTTCTACCCTTCTTTTAAGCCAAAACAATTTGATCAATCGATTCGAAAAGAAGCTAAAAATGCCCCAGACTTAAAAAAAAAATTATTCCTTTTGCTTTCTTTTAATAGCAGACGTATATTCATACATGCAGATTAATTTTGAAGTTTTAAAACTGAGTTTTGTTTTTATTTGTTTTAAAAGATGAATTATGTTCATATTTCGATATATTATTTGAACACCTTTCACATGAGAAGCAACCTTCGCATCTTGGGAATAGCATGGCAAGATAAGGTTCCCAACACTGAGGTCTTGTCTCGAACAGGTTTTCCCAGCATGTTCACACTACACAGACTCCAATGGTTGGGCTAAGTCCATCGCATGCCAGACGGCCGCATCCCTAAAGAACTCTTCTATGGAGAGCTGGCCGCTGGTGGCCTCGGCTACGGTAGCGCGATGTAGTGAGACGCGCCGTGAAAGCTGTGGACATCAACACAGAGTCTTGGGAGAGATTGACAGCCATACGATCCGAATGGAGAGGAATCCTGATCAAATACCTCAAGTCAGGGGAGGAGAAGCTGACGCAAGTCGCCACGAAAAGGCGGGCCCGCAGAAAGCAAAGTGACATCTCCAAAAAGACATCTCTGCAAAAGACCACAGAGACAGAACAACATTTGGTCAACCTCTGCAACATCATCATTCGATTTCTGTATGGACACACTACCTACCAAGTCACGTGGTGTGTTGTTATGGCATCATGCCTCTACAAAGATGTCGATGTCTCCAGCCAATGTGTTGTTTTGTTCCATTTTTTTTTAATTCCAAGTACCTAACTGGATGCAACTTTTTCATTTCAATTTCAGGTCTTTGTATTTTGATAGTTTTTCCCTGACCAACGGAGGTTTTTTTCTATAAGTTTTGACAATAATAATATTGGATTCTTCTTCCATAGAATCTTCTTAACTTCTTCTTCTTATTTTCCAATTATTATTATTATTACTTATTATTATTATTTGGGGCATTATTATTATTATTACTTCAAATGTTATTTTAGTAGATATCCGCATTTGAAATAGACACATCATTTTTATTTTGAACACTGTATTTCGTCTGTCGTCCTATACACTCGATAAATATTAATAAAAAATGCTCTCTAACAGGGTTTGAACTATTTGTTGTTTCCATGTGTTAGTAAGCCAATAGCGTACCTTCTTTAGAGGTCGCCTTTGGATGATGCATCCAAAAGAACCTTTTTAGAATCATTCCATTTTATATTGACCACTGGGAAAACCCATTTTTTCCTTTTTTTAATACCAGCGTTTTCTTTCTTTTCTTATGGTGAATTCCTTCACTCTCATTTACACCTAGGTAGTCAGCATTACTTAATAGAATAGATTTTTTAAAATCATTTCATTCCAAGGATGGTTTATTTTCTTTTTTGCTAATAAAGCCTATAAGTGATATGCAAAATAAACGCAAAATATTCCTCTATTGATGTTTATTTCGCCAGACTTATAGTTATTTTTTATGATTGAGGTGAGTTTTCCATATCGCTAGATAATTTAAGATCCAGGAAAAATACACTATTAACGAGACGACAATAAAAGAAAATAGATGTTACAAGGATTAATAGTTTTTGGAATATTTGAAGAGAAGAAGATTTTAGTTGGATCGAAGTTCTTTGGCGAGTTTTTTTTGTGCTGTATTACATTTAAATAAATTTTATCTATTCCTGGAGATTTCCAGTTGTGTGCTTTTTTCAATTTATTTTTCTGTGATTCCCGCCCATGTCTGTTCTGGTTTATTTTTCATTCGTTCTAACTCTTGCGCAATCCATCCTACATTTTTCCCCCAGAATATATTTTAGGGGGACTGTCACTTCAATTCTTTGTTTACCTATTTCCCTATTTCTTTTGTTATATTGTTCTGTCTATAGAATCTCATTATCATAATAGGACTTCATTTTCATTCCATATAAATTTTTGCCTTTTCTAGTTCACTCTTGCTAGTTCATTTTTTTTTAAGGTGTTCAAAAGTACTGATTAAATGCATGCTTAAAATTTATATGTTTTCTTCATCCAGAATTTTGAGTGCTGCATTATAGGGTTTTTGAACAATTTTGGGAGTTGTTCTCGTTCCTCCATTGCATATTCGTATCTGAATATACATTTATTTTTTTTATATCAATCCGCATTTGAAATAGACACATCATTTTTATTTTGAACACTGTATTTCGTCTGTCGTCCTATACACTCGATAAATATTAATAAAAATGCTCTCTAAGGGGTTTGAACTTCGCTCATCCAAACAGTTATTTTTTGAGGAAAACCCATTTTTTTCCTTTAGCGTTTTCTCGAAAATATCTAGAATTTTTTTTAAAATCAGTGAAACGCAAGGTTTGAGTTTTAATATGTGAAAAATACACTATTAACGAGAGACGACAATAAAAAACAATTAAGAAGAGTTTTGAAACATTTAAATAAATAAATTTATTTTTATCCTACATTTGAATATAAAGAATATGTCATTATCATTCCACATAAATTTTTCAGACATGCTTAAAATTTTTGAACCATTTATTTTTTTATATCAATCCACGACCTTTAAAATCATTTCAGATTTGTTTTCTGTATTAAAGAATCTCATTCGACAGTTGAACCAGATTTAAAATCAGAGTTGTATTATCTATGCGTTCAGTAAGAAAGCAAGTAATGATGATTTTATAATTTAAGTTTCATCCAGCTGTTACTGTTGACATATAAAAAAAGGGGGAGGACAAAGCATATTATGGAAATTATTAAACTTCTTTTTGAAAGTTTATTTGTAGAATATAGATTTTTTATCTAATCATTTCACTCCAAGTAAGGCGATAATGCCTCTAAGATGCCATAGGTTACTGATAATGAAAGAGAATGAGAAAACTTTAGAGAAGAGAAAGGACAATAAATTCAGCGTTTAGGAAGGTAGAAAATGGCTATTAACGTTGAAGTTAAATTCTATTATAAATTTATTATAAATTTGTTATAGATTATTCGCCATATTTTATAAATTCGCGTAATGCTACATTTTGCCCGTATGTCCCGCGTTACATAAGTAAAACAAATCATCCCAGATCATACCACGAATATATTTACTAGTTCCAGCTTAAAATGGCGCGAAATAAGTCACATTGTCTTTTTAATGTGATTCACGTACACATGGGCCAATAAAAAGAAATGTTCTGTCAGCGTGGCGTCGGTGTTTCGCCAACTCTCCATCTTTAAGGCAATGTGTGAAGTTTTGTTACAGTTTTGGAATCTTCCGAGACCAGACAAACACTGAAAGAGTGAAGTTGAAAACTACTGCTTTGTCAGGGACAGAATTATTTTACATAAAACAGTATTCTTGGAGAAGTTCAAATTACAATGTCTTTGGTTACGTCACAATTAATCAAGACTAAGACCTTTCAATTAAAGCAAAAACCGGATTAATTAAAAATGAAAGCTATCACAATTTGCAGACTAAAACTGTTCTCACGGACTGGATGCATATGTATAATGTTTTGACTTTTCAGTCAAATTCTTGTGAATTCTTAGCTCATGCTTGAAAAGTAAATTATAACTGACAATAATGCAGTATGTACTGATATGATAGACACCTTTAGTTCATTGTTTTACGATCATTTCTTGATTTTGAAAGCATAAATACGTAGCAATATCACTGATGTGGACAGAGGATAGAATAAAACTACATTTGTAGAAGGGATTCGTACAAATAAATAAAACCAATTCATAAGAAATATCCCAATAACAAGCTTAAAAAACTTCTATAGAAAAAGGACACTGAAAATGCTATATTAACTCTTCCAGTAATTTAATAAATAAGTCACATGTTTAAAAATAATGAAGTGTCAATGAGATACTATCCTCGGATTTTTTTTTATAATGGTGACAATATTCCAATTATTAACACAATCATAATCATCTTCCTTCATAGTAATTTTTAGCCACCTTTCTTCAATTATTGCACAGGATATTGGTTCTTTTTTCATTTATTGACTGAATGACATGAGATAACCTTTTACGTTTAGTAGCATATTTGATTGCAACATGTACATTTTGTAGAGAAGGCTTCTCTTCAATTGTGACGCTTTCTCTTTCATCATTAATTGAAATATCTTGGCAAAAATCCATATTAATATTTTCATGTTGTCTATAGGTTATCTTCCTCAACAATACCTAGGTATTGTTGAACTGAGAATTGTAGTGAAATTCAACAAAATTCTCTTTGTTCCTTATCGTCTGGTAAAATTTCAGTTACCCGTAAATAATACCAACATCTAGACATTCGACATCAGATTTGGGAAGGTATAACGCAAACTTGGTGGACGTATTCTGGAAAATGGTTTGCATTTTGAAACTCTACCTTAGTAGATTTTACATCTGAAAATAATTTACGTTTGGCTGCAACACTATGCCATCATGTAACCATTTAAAATGATAGTCTTACCATAATTGCATGCTATTTCTAAATCTACTGGAAAAAAAATCAAAGTAAAGGAAAGACATACTTTGATCTGAATGAGGCATAACACCCTCCTCACTCAAAATACAGTTTTCTTAACCCGTTTAATATTTTTCAGGAATTCTGTAAATTGAGTATTACAGAAAAAAGCTATGTTGTGTTAAGGGAGTGTTTGAATGGAAGTAATGGCATCTGGTATAACAGGCAACTCCGTGTCTTTGTAAGGAGCACGAAACAAAAATAACTGCATTCACTCACTCTCTTCAAATTCGGAGGACTGAGGAATACGAAGGAAAGGAATTCGCGAGCCCGTGTGAAACTGATTTTGGTATAAAATTAAATTAATAAGTAAAGGGTGTCTGAAGTCATGTTAAACGTTTCGTTGGAGTTCTCGCCAGTGTAAAATTACTCGCCAGTTATATTATGGGCCTCTAACCAGCATGGCGCGCTTCAAAGAATCCAAAATCCGTCTACATTTGAACGTATACAAACTGTATATCCATTCAATTAGCAACTAACTCTCTTACCATTGTCCTAAATCTTTTTTAATATTATTTTGTATCAGATAAATTAGTATAGTGTGTGAGCTTCTCGTCTTCATGACGAAACGTTAAAACTACAGACCTTAACCATTCTGATTTGTTTTCCTAAAATGAGCTACTAACACTACTACAAGACTGTAAATTTGTACATAAATTCCTTATCATGTATTGTTGTTTCAACTCCGAATCCTCACACCACTCTAACTTTATCAGCTGTTGAATTGGGGTCTCCAGCAATAATTGCAAAGCCATGAAGTCAACTGTGACTACTGTATATGCTTCAGGTCCTGTTGGTCCACGACAAGTGCTTCTCGTCAATGACAATATTCTGAATGGTATGATATAAGATGTGTATTTTATTTTCTGAATTATTAAACCTAATTCCTTAGATATTCATAAAAGATTATGTGGTTTAAAAAAGGTTTTTCTTTTCATTATCTTTCCAATAATACACTGTGTCCTTCCTACCTGATTTGCAATAACTGCAATGAGTTTTCTTTAAAAACAAAAAGATATCACAGCTTCCATGGTTGTCGACAAAAAGGGAGGCTGTCCACCAGATGAAATACGTAGCTTCTTTTTTATTAATGTAAAAGATGCATTCTTATTACTCGATCATAAAGAAGTTCCGATTTTCTTAATTACTCCCTTTTCTTGGCTAGCATCTGAAATTGTGTAAAACTCATTGATAAGTCCACAATATGAATGAGTTATACACAAATTTCAGATGTTTATCAATCAGCACACTTTTTACATTATTTGGTGAAAAATATATTCTAAAGGATTTGAAGTTAGTCCCAGTTTTTGTCAGGAACGAAAAAACTTTAACCCATAAAAATCACGCAAACACCATGTTACTTTAAACAAAACAGTTAACTCTTAGTCTACATTAAAAAATATAGAAT